CGATTCGATTCGATTCACGGTTTTGATTTCACGATTCGATTCGATTCACAATTGATTTTTTTTTTTTTTACAAAATGAGATTTAAGACAAATTATAAATTAAATGTGTTCTTTTATTATTGCTTGGACAAAATGTTGCACATTTCTTTGTGAAATTGAAATATAATACTATAATAATATACTAATATAGCACTTGCATATTACTGCTCTTTTGTTGGTTTTGATTGCTTCTATTGTCCTCATTTGTAAGTCGCTTTGGATAAAAGCATCTGCTAAATAACAAAATTTTAATATAATGTAAATGTAAATAAAACTGAATTGAAATTTTAAAACAAGCCCCAAATCAAATAAGTAACACAAATAAAAAAATCACTTCATATAAACAAACTAAGGTTTTGTCTGTGCTCTTTCCATTTAAAATTAGAGATTAAAATTAATCATGATCCAAACAAAGATGCTGCATACATGCAACATGAGCAGTTTTTAATCTAAATTAAGTTGTATAATTTTGAAATTTGAAGCAAAAACAGAATGGTTTGACTTCAGTTTTGTGAAACTATACATAAAAATATCTGCATGAAACAGCAGAGGAGCTGAATGAGACGCAGATGCACTCTTTGCCAGCAGGTGGCGCTTAAAGCGCTTCCTTGGTTTCCGCTGTAAACAAAGCAGCGCTGCACTTATAAACTTTAATATGCATTATACAGAAGATGAATAGAAAAAATACCATCTAAACTTTTCTAAAGACAGTAAGTTCCCCTCAGACATACATTCATATAAACTCCAACACCTAAATGAATCGCGATTTGTTTAGCATCTCAACCGATTTGAATCGTCACATATTTGAATCGATTTTCAACCGACTCGCGGTTAATCGTTACATCCCTAATCATATTAATATTAACACATTCTGCTATATTATAATTTATAATGTATATTAATGAATTTTATATATTTGTGTGTCTGTTATTTTCCACAGTTCGTCTGTAAATGGCAATGGTGTGGCAAATCATAGCGGTTATACTGAGCAGCAGTCTGTTGCAGCTGCTCCTGCATCTAAAAACGAAACCAAAAAGAAGGCAAGAATTTTTTGTATGACTTCGCCCTCAACTGCATGAGTTGGGAAAACTGCTTGGAATTAACTTCTTTAGTTATTTGTAAAATTCTGCATCCTTTATCCACACAGGAAGTAATTGAGAGTGTCGTGGCTTTGACCAGCGAGGAAGAAGAGAGGAGAGGGGTTGCAGCTACTCTCCTAGCTCCTCTTATCCCAGAAGAGGTTAAGGAGGCAGAGGAGAAGTGGAGAAAGAAGGTGCTGGCAATGGAGGAGACTGTAGAAGCGGCCCAGGAAGTAGAAGGCGAAGGCACTCCATCTTTGGACTCCCCAGCTCTCCGAGATGCGGACAGCCAGAGTAACCAGCGCAGCAGGAACCACTCCGCAGAGTCTTCTGACAGGGAGGAGGAGGCAGAAGAGGACACCATGGAACTAGAACTAGCACTAGAGAGGAAAAAAGTGAGTTGCTTCATTAGAAATAACTCATTAGTCTATATTATAGTAACATTTCATATATATATATATGATTATGCAGTCATCATCTTAGTCTAATTTCATGCCTAATTAAGCAAGTATTTTAAATGAATGGATGTTTCTTTAAAGTTATATACAGTTTCTTTTGTGAAATGGTGGTATTGAAAGTAATTGTTGGTCTGCAGGCTGAGCTTCGTGCCTTGGAGGAAGGTGACGGCAGTGCCGGTGGTTCGAGCCCCTGTTCCGAAGCAAGTCAGGATGGGCCAAAAAGTCATTTACTTTTGAAGAAGAACAAATGGAAGACGTCTTTCCACCGTGCGCCAAGTCCTGACTCGAGCAGCCGGGGCTCAGACAAGGCAGGATGGGCCACTCCAGAGCACTCAGACAATGGTAAAGATTGGCAGTAATTACATAAGTGCTTAGAAATGTAATTAATTTGACAGAAATTAGGTTTTGTGCATCAGGAATTATTGACTTATTGAACATTTTGTGTTTCAAGCACATTCCAAAACCGCTGAGAAGCTAGGAGAGGAAGATGAAAAGGAGAAGTCTGTATCCAAAGCTCTTCAAAAGGAAGAAGAGGACCTCAAGGTAATTGAAATGAATTGAAGTCAATGTAATAAAAAATCGACCATTTTTTCTTTAATACACACTTCTGCTTTTATTGCTTTTGTACTGATCTAGTGCTCACAACATATATATATATATATATATGTGATGTGTATATATATAATGCCATTTTCGGTGGAAAGAGGAAAATGGCTGAAAATATATGGCCCGCCAGATATTTTCTGTCCAATTCTTTGTGTTACTTTCAATAAAAGTGTGGTTATTTCATTAGCTTGTGTTTTTTAAATTCAGTATCATTACAATTACAATCATTACAGTTTGGGTTTCAGCCCAGAATTTTCATTTTGGTGCATAGTATGTATGTTCATATGTAGGTACATTATTTTATGCATGTACATTAATGTATCTTAATGTAATTTATTTCTGTGATGGCAAAGTCAAGTCACATTTATTTCTATAGCACTTTATACAATACAGATTGTTTCAAAGCATTGTTACAGTAAAAAAACAGGAAAATTGGAGAATCAATTGTGGAAATTTCTTCAAATATAAAACTAGTATAACATGATCTTTCAGAAATCAATTGGTGCTCAAGAAACATTTATCAATGTTAAACAGCTGTGCTGCTTAATTTTTTTGTGGAAACAGTGGTACATTTTTTTTCCAGGATTCTTTGAGTAGAAAGTTCAAAATATTTGAAAAAGAAGTCTTTTGTAACATTATAACAAATGTCTTTACTGTCAATTTTGATCAATTTAATGCATCGTTGCTAAATAGGGTTGGGTATCGTTTGAGTTTTATCGATTCCGATTCTTATCGATTCCTAGTTTCGATTCCAATAAGATAAAAAATCCAATATAAAAAAAATTAAGTCAAACATTTAGATGTCAAACATTTATTCTGTCTTTTTACAAAGCATTCTGTTGCAGCTGAATAACACGAGCAAAAATCAGCAGCCTACAGAACACTGCAAGAGGAATTTTGCCTATGCTTTAAAAAAAAAAGATACCACAGCAAAAACAACTAGATTAATATAAATTTCAAATATTAAAGTGTTAAAGACAAGTAAACAGTCAGTAATAAGATAGGAACAAACAAATCAATAAGCAATATCATATGTTTATGATATACTGATGTAGTTTTCTGCATATTGGTAGACAAATATGACAGAAGTCAATTTTCGGCCCGGAACAACCTTTTCTACAGCTGAAATACATGGAAGGGTTCGAGAACGGACACAAACCGGGAACCCGTATCGTGACCTCTGTTCTCTGTGCTTGCGCTTCGTGTGCGCTGCACGCAAATAGGGCGCAAGTTCTTTCCGTTCCTGCACATAAATCGTTTTTAATCACATTAAAATGCAAACGCAGGAATCGTTAAGCAGAATCGAAATGCACGCGTCTTATCGAATACCCGGTTCTTGGACATTTGGAACCGGTTCTAAAATGGAACCGGTTTTCGATACCCAACCCTATTGCTAAATAATAGTATTAATTTCCTAAAATCAAAATCAAGTCTTGTTTTACCTGTTTTTCCGTTGACTATCTTATTTCAGTGCAAAAAAAGGTCACGATTACAGAAATAAAATGAGCAGCAAAGAGCATTTTTCGTATTATATTTATAGAACTTCAGGTTAGGGTTGTAACGATATACCGGTATGGTGGTTTATCACGGTTTGAACATGCACTGTTATCATACCGTAAACATTTGCATATCTACGGTTTAAAAAAAAAAAATGAATGAAAAAAAATCACACCAGCGCACATTCAACTTATTTCCGCTCGGTTGCTTCACTCTGCATTCATTTGGCTGCTTACACGCACGTGCAGCGGATAAAAATGACAGAGACAGAGATAATATCTAATCTCCATCCCGCCAAAAAAAAAGTTAATATCTGCAGTATGGGAATACTTCGGATATATAAAAAAAAAACGAATGCGGGGTTGTCCTTGAAGACGGATTCAATTTGCAAAAAATGTGGACGCAAAGTGGCTGCAAAAGCAGGCAATACATCCAACATCTTCGCTCATATTCGCGTACACCATCCCTCCGTGCAGATAAAGGTATGTCGCATTAATAGCAAGTTATAAGTTAAGGCCGTATGATTTCTGTGATGCAGAGGGAATCCCGGTGCAGTCTGAACATGGAATTTACAGTATGACGAGGATGTCACGTAAAACACGCAATCGGATGGATGGATAAATCAAAAGTAGTTATGATAGTGTCTGTGAATATTAAAGCGCAAAGATACTGCTATATAAATAATCTGCTTGTTTCTGCGTGTCTCTGAGTGACGCCGTTTTATCTACTACATACTGAAGTATGCATACATAAATAGTGTTTTCAGCGTCTAAGATACATAAACTTGAACGTCAGCAGAGCTGCTCTGAGAGAAAACGTAAATAAACATTTCCTAGTTTTATTTGAGAAAAACCATTGTCAAATACACTCCAAAACTCAAAGGTCCGCTACAACCCGTCAAAATAAATTCAATTTAATTTGAAATTATGACAGAAATACATTAGCATTGTACAATGTACTTCAAAGTTATAATAACAACAATAATAATATTCTAATTAATTTATTCAGAAGGGAGACTTCAATACTTTCATTAAAATGGTTTCAAGTTTGTTGTAATAAAGGATTTGTTCACTCAAATAACTTGTTCTTGTTCTTTTAAGAGTCATTGTTACTGATAAGAATGATTGTTTAATATATACCGTGATAACCGTGATGTTTTCTGAGACTATTATCATACCGTGAAAATCTCATACCGTTACAACCCTACTTCAGGTATACCTCTTAGTTACACTACTTTGAGGAATATTTAGAGTATGAATATTATCTACAAGTTACAGTTACTGGTAATATGAAATGTTATGTGATAGATTAAAAGTTGTTGGTCTTGCCTCCTTTAGTTTCAGATTGGAGAGCTTGCTAACACACTCACCAACAAAATGGAGTTTTTGGGAATCGACAAGAAAGTCATCTCGAACTTTCAACTGCTGTTGCTGCAAACGGAGGTAAGAAAACACTGATATAAAGATCATAAGTGCTATTCATGCTATATAAATAAAACAAATAACAATATTAAATAACAATATTATAATAAAGGTTAATATATACAATGCATACAGATAATATTGTTATTGTGTATACATTAGCAAATAACATTTAAACCGTTTTATATACTGTATGCTGTCAATATTTCCCTTCCACCAGACGCGGATCTCAGACTGGCGAGAGGGTGCTCTGAACGGAAACTATCTCCGGCGCAGGCTGCAGGAAGCTGCCGAGCACATAAAACATTACGAACTTAACGCCACTCCCAAAGGCTGGTCCTGCCACTGGGACAGGTACGCGCTCCTTTCCTTTCACATCCTTATCACTCCCCCTCTCTAAAAGTCCCCCTCCTCATGTGACGATTGACACTGCTTCCGCTGCTATGGCAAATGCGCAACTGATTTGCACTTGGTTGTATTACTGGGGAGTGTTTACGAGCACGGATTAAGACAGGAGGTAATCCTGATAAGGGAGCGTCTCTAAAGAGCCAGCCTGACCACCAAAGATTTGGGCCCCATCTCCTCCCCTCAAAGTCAGTCTAAAGTGTTAGGAAGGTGGTTGCGCGTGCGAGAGCTTTGAACTTTACAGGACTGCCCCCAAAATGATGGGAGAAATGAGTGACACAGAGTGACCACTTGGAAGCAGCGTGTCACACGAGCATCAGTAAAGGAAGACGATGCCTTACCCTCGGAGCCTGAAGGTCAGACCAATCTATTTCATTGTTTTACTGGATTTCTTTTCCATGCACACTATTGATGACTGTTCATTAAAAATGTTGTCTTTTACCCTCTGTTGAAGATGCCTACCTTAAGGCATCTAGCGGAGGGGTTTTGTCACTGTCAGTGTGAGTATTGCCATGACAATTGAGACGAAGTGATTTGTAATAATGTCTGTAAGCTTTTCAGGATTGGATATTTCTCTATTTTTTTGCCATGTTTTTTCTTAGAGAATAAGGTGGGTTCATTATCAGTGCACCCCTTCTAATCTGGCTTCTCCTCTGGGCTCCCAATGAAGCCCAGTTCAACATTCCCTCATTAGGGAACTAGAGCCCCACTTTCCTTTGACTCTCCAATGGTCTCATGACCTTGAAATCAGTTGAGGGAACAGTAGCTAAGACACTACTGTGTGTTTGTTTCTCCACCTCTAGAGAGAACAGGCGGTACTTTTATGTGAACGAGAGGACCAACGCTTCCCAGTGGGAGTTTCCAGTTGTGGAGGAGAATGAGGAAGCCAAGTCGCCCCCGCCGCCCACTTCTGGCCTCGGAGACACTAGCCAACCATCTACAGAAACAACTGGTGCTATAACAGGTAAGGGTTGTGGGTGATGACATCTTTTAAATATGAATTAAAATTTCAGTTTATGCATACAATGAGTTGAATATTAGACAGGGTGGCCGCGGGTCCTTAAAAAGTCTTAAAATGTCTTAAATAAAGTTTTCCTAAAATAAGGCCTTAAAAAGTCTTAAAATGTCTTAAATTCAGATTCAGTAGGTCTTAAATATTTTTGGTCACATTACCACAAACATTTCTCCAGTCTGACGGACCCAGTGAGTGTCCATTGAGAGTACTTTTTCTCCGCTGTAGTTACCGCGTCATCAGAGAGAATTGCGGTTACAGAATACAGTCGAACACCAGCTCGCTGTCCAGCCTCCGAACTACTATAAATGGGTTCATGCAAGTTTACTGAAAAATGGCTTGAGAATTGTACTTGCCCGACAGGACTAATAACTTGATTAAAACTTAAGTGACAAAATATAATCACGCATCAAAACGCGCAAATGATTCTTCTGATTTTATTACATTCAGCTTAAACAGCGATTGATAATTGATAGTGTATTTCTATTATCAATGTCGCGCTGTTGAGGCTCGTGCTGCCTGTCTCTGTGAGAGACTTTCATGGAGAAATCAAATCAAATGAGCGTACGGCACACATAAAGAAACTCACAGAACAAACATACTGAGGTAAAAATTCTAAATGTTTAGTTTATT